TTTATTAGTACTTTTAAAGCACATATTAATGCCTTATTCTGCATGACAATATTTTAGCTCCCTTAATCCACCAAGATCTCAGCAGAAGATGATTGAACAACTCTACAAACAGCATCACTAACTTCACACATTACTAAATTTAAGTCTCTCTTTGGCTGGGACAATTGTGTGTATTAAACACATATGTGATGGCAAGGAACTTATGAAAAAATCATGTCATGTGTCTGAGTCTCTGATTGCAATTTGCCTAAAACTGTAGTACTTTTATGTTTTCTATATTGTTGCAGTTATGTGAGATAAAATTGAGAAAAACTTTATAAATTGTATTTATAAATATGGTTCATAAAGAAGTTTCAATTCTGGCACTCATAGACATGAAGAATCAGCATGTGAATCTCAGCAATGGTGACAAAATATTCTGATAATTTTTATGTGATTTTTGAACGTGACAAAACAAGGCAGTAAAAAGTCAACAAAAAATATAAATAAAAGCAAATAGTAAAAATAAAAGAAAATACTAAGACAATGCAGATAAATAATTTATTCATTTCGCAATGCATGCTGGGAGCCATGGATGAGTTATGATTGGTGCACCCAGAATGCACTGCAGCATGAATCTGTCTGATGATCGTCACCATTGTTGAGATTCATATGCTGATTCTTGATGTCTGTGTGTCTAAACAGTACAGATGGTCTAAACTGGTGTGCAAAGTGTTTTTAAAGTTTTTCATATTATTTCATTAAAATGCAGTTGTGATCAATATCATAAACTATATTATACAATACCACTGATGACATCAGTCAACCCAGCTACGACAATGCCATTTATCAAAAAAACAGCCAATATAATCTAAACCCATTTTCGCTTGGTTTTTCTTACCATAACCAATGTGCTTCATAAACACAGTTACAGCAATCAGAGAATCACTAATGTTAAAAGGTCAAGGGTCAAGAGCCCAACTAAAGCAAACACTTATCTCCGCAATGGTGACTTCAAATTGTGTTATTTTCAATAAACATTAACATCTAAATCTCTGTTAATTCTTAATAAGACATTTTTAGACGCATGACAAACAAAAAGTCAAACTGGTTAGTAATGTGTGAAGTTGGTGATGCTGTTTGTGGAGATGATTAATCATCTTCTGCTGAGATCTTGAGAGATTTAATGTATTTTATTTCAGT